CTCTCTCTCTCTCGCTCTCTCTGTGTGTGTATGTAATACCCTTAATAAAACTAGCTTTTGCTGTATTTTTTAATCTTTTTCTTTATTTGTTTTACGATGATCGAATAGGTCACGAATCTAGTATTGCGTGGTAAAAAGACAGAGAGTGCTTGTGTAATTTGAATTAAAATTGTTGCCACTTATAGATGGTTTAGGTTTAGGTTTAGTAAGAGCTTTGTTATGTGGTACATGCAACACAAGTAGGTTATTTAAGTACCCAAGATCAGAAGTGTTAGCCTACCAGTAGAGAATAACTTACAAAGAAAAGAAGTAGAAGATGGTACTATAAAGGACGGTACATTATTATTATTAGACAGAAAAGAAGGAGCAAACCACTCAAGAACACCCGTCAACCAATCAGTTTAAAAGATGGTTGAACAAGCTGATGGGGTTCTGTGTGTTTCTGAGAATATACACCTGTGTGGATCCGTATAAAAACGTTCAATACAGCTTTGCATCATCATTAAGGTAAAAGCAATCACAGTAGTGAAATAAAATACAGCAGTTTATTATCATAATAGTTCATACAGTAGGTTATATGTTGTATAATATACTCTTCAACGTGATGAAAAAGTCATGCATTATATTTGACCTAATGCCATAACAGTTGCATATTAAATATATAATATATTCTTATATTTTGAACACAATAACGTAGCCAACATGTTATGACCTATCAGCAGGACCACAGCCTTCGAATCCTTGATCGACCACGCCAGGGGCGGTTCGTGGGGCTCAAACATGGGGGCGTGCTCAATTACACTATCGAAAGGCTGAAGATAGCCAAACCGAGGTATATAAATACACAAACTGCTCCATAACCTCGCATTCCTCACAGAAATATTTGCCAATCTATTTATAAAAACTACAATGGCTGAATACAAATAAACCTACAAAAACTGTTCTAAAAAAGGTAATATTGTATAGATTGTCATAATAATCGAGTGAACACTTCGGTGTACTTTGAGTTACGGCAAAGCCGGGGCGAGAAGCCATACTTTTTAAAGTTAGGTTTTTCATACAGCCCCTTGTTTTCGAGACTAGAATAATATTTATGTATAACCATAATTGAACAAGTCTGCTGGTCTTGCAGTATAACTTGAAACGTTAGGTCTATAATACATTTTGTCTTTATTTCTATCATCGTAAATTGCTAGAGTTTACATTAACTAATACTATTATTATTATTTTTAAGGATTAATTAAGTATCTTCATCGAATATATTTCTCCAGTAAGAATCAATGTTTTTAACTTCTTCCCGTTATATCATTCTATCGTTTCTATAATAGATTATGGCAAGTGTGTAAGGCAGTCTTTTCTTTCAAGGTAAGTAACTCTCGTACTGTCTATCCGGCGAACAAGTTGGGTGCTTTCCCCTTAGCATGCAATCCCGTCACTTTAAAGATGGCGCCCGCCTCAGGGGGATTCTCCGGCCAATTTGGCAGTCTTAACGCTGCAGATGTCGTCACATACAGGTCTCTGAAGTCTTCGCCGCCAAAGTTAGGACACGTGACTCCCTTACAAGGGAGGTTAATGCTCTGTAACTCTTCCCCTGCAAAGGTAAAGTGAGAGTTGAAGTTATCCTAGCTGTGCTCTGTTGAGCGTGTGGAAGGCTGTGTGTTGTAGTGTATATGTGTGTGTGTGCGTGTGTGCGTGTGTGCGTGCGTGTTTGTGTGTGTGTGTGTGTGTGTGTGTGTGTGTGTGTGTGTGCGTGTGTGTATGTGTGAGTGTTTATGTGCATTTGTGTGTATGTGCATTTGTGTGTGTGCATGCATGTGCATATAAATCACAACCATCTGTAAAAAGCTGTCCGCATGCCTTCAGCACAACAATCTAAAACTTGGGGCTTAGGCCATCATAATGTATTGTTTTCAACCACAACTACAGCCAAACAAACATCAAGCGAAACCGCCATGACGTCATATCAGCCTTCACGGTCTGGACTCAAAATAATAAGCAGAAAGATCAGTTTAGTTCAATGGCTTGGGTTTAAATATCCAAGATCGTGCACTCTGAAAAAATTCCAATTCAACATGGAGCACACTATCTAACCCAGCCTTCAAGCGTTCGACTCAAAATTAGCACTATAACTTTCAACAGTTCTTCAAACAAAACAGGCATCAAACGGAACCATCAAGATGTCGCATCAGTATTCAACGTCTCGACTCAAAATAAGCACTTAAACATTTAACAGTGAGTTGTTCAAACCTCATCATCATCATCCGGTGCCTTGCCGACTGGCGTGGGCGATCATGGACCTCCACTTCCATCTGTCTTTCGAAGCAGCAATGATGTCTGTTGTTCTTGCTGCTCCCAGCCATGTTGTCATCTTGTCCAGTATCTTTTCCCTCTGTCTGCCTCTACCTCTCTTTCCATCAAACTTTCCTGTTGTTACAATGTTCTCTAATGCTTCTTTCCGCATTGTGTGTCCGAAAAAATTTGCCTGTCGTTTTCTTATATT